GGGTTTCCATTCCCGGTGATCCCGGGGTTTCCATTCCCGGTGACCCCGGGGTTTCCATTCCCGGTGATCCCGGGGTTTCCATTCCCGGTGACCCCAGGGTTTCCATTCCCGGTGACCCCGCTGATCCCAGTCCCCCCACCCCGTTCCCAGCACTCCCAGCACTCCCAGTACCCCCAGTCCCTCTCTCCCCGCAGGGTTTCTGGACCCGATTTTTCCCGGCCTGGCAGCGGCTCCGGACGATGGCGGCCGAGGGGGCCCTGGGGTCCCCCCTGGTGCTGCGGGGGGAGCTCGGGTTCGCCCTGGGGGGGGTCCCGCGGCTGCGGGAGCCGGGGCTGGGCGGGGGGGTCCTGCTGGACCTGGGCGGGTACGGGCTGCAAATGGCCCTGGCCCTGCTGGGGGGGGGCGGCCCCCCCAAAACCCTGCGGGCTCACGGCGTCCTGCACCCCACTGGTACGGACTGGGGGGCACCGGGAGGGACGGGGAGGAAAAATGGCACTTTTAGGGATAAAATTGGCACCGGGAGGGACTGGGAGGGACCGGGAGGGGATTGAGGGGCACCTTTTCCCCCCTTTTTTCCCCATTTGCCCCGCTTTCCACATTTTCCCCCCATTTTTTTCTTGTTTTATCTTTATTTTCCCCTGTCCCACTTCCCTCTTTTCCCACTTTTATTCCCTTAATTTTTTTTCCTGTTTTCCCGTATTTTGCCCCCATTTTTCCCGCACCAGGTGTYGATGAGTCGGTGATAGTGACGATGGAATTCCCCGGGAAGGGCCTGGCCGCGCTCACTTTCTCCATGGCTGCGGAGCTGCCCGGAGGGGCTGCCCTGGGGGGGCCCCACGGCTGGGCCGAGGTACCCCAAAAATCAGGGGGAGGCCCCAAAAATTTGGGGGGGAAGGAACCAAACGGTCCTTCAGGGTTACAAATCTCAAATCTGAGCTTTTTGGAGTGAAAATCTCAATAGTGTGGAGGGAGGGTGGGGTTAGTGGTTTTTTTTGGTTGGGTTTTTCTTTTGCTTAGTGGTTTTTAGGGTTTTTAAGCTGTTTTTCTTAGCCTCGGGTTATTTTTTTGGGGTCGGGGTGTCCCCCACAGTTCCCCAGCCACATGAACTGCCCCATCGAGCTGCTCTGGAAGGGTCGCCGCGAGTTCTTCCCGCTGCCCCCGCCCTCGGAGCCCCTCAACTTCCCCCACAGCACCGGGCTCCGCTACGAGGCCCAGCACGTCCGCGAGTGTCTCCTGCAGGGTGAGCGGCGAAATCCCGAGATTTGGGGGCATCCTGGGCGAAAATCGGGATTTTGGGGGGTCCCCAGGGGTGCTGACCTCACTGCTGTCCCCAGGACTGACCGAGAGCCCGGTGATGCCCCTGGCCGAGAGCGAAATCATCGCACGGCTGCTGGATGAGGCCCGGGAGCAGGTGGGGGTGGGACCCCCCCGAGTGACCACCGACC